GTGCTAACCACTGAGCCGTCGTGCCGTCACCTGCCTAAAGGCGTGATTAGAGGTGGCTTCAGCCAGGACACGCAGGGGCGTGGTTCCCATACATGATGTTGTACCTCGTTCCTTTCCTTCAGGGAACAGTAGTTATATGCATAACATTACGTTTTTTTTTTTCTAATAGAAGGCTGCAACCAGAGAGTCCACTACGAATTGAAACCCAAAAGGGGAAACAAATAGAAATGGTCTCCACTTATAAATACCTAGGTTTCTTGATCGACCGCGACTTGTCATTCAAAGCCCACATCGCTAAAATGGCCACTAAGCTCAAGTTGAAACTAGGCTTTTATTACAGAAACAAATCTTGCTTCTCATGGAAAGCTAGGAGATCATTAGTGCTGTACCTGAGTGCTGCATCAAAATACCTGCAGTCCTTAGACTCTGTCTACCATAGTGCTCTATGGTTCATCACAGACTCCAGTTACTCATCACTGTGAACTGTGTAAGCCAAACCTGGCTGGTCATCCCCCACAGCTCGCAGATACACTCAATGGACATCTCTAATCTATAAGACCCTCCTGAACTTAGTCCCGTCATACTTTACCACCTTAATACAAACAACACACAGTCATTACTCCCTGTGCTCCAACAGTCTAGTACTGTTGTCAGTTCCTCTTGTCAGAACTGAACTAGGGAAAAGAGCATTCAGCTTTGCCGCTCCCTCAACCTGGAACAACTTACAGATTCAAAGGAAAGTAACAAAACTCGTCTCGCCAAGATCCTCTTAAACACTATTTGTCTACTGTACGTGTTACTTCAATTTTTCAGTCTGTACTCAACCTAAACTTGGTAATTTAACTCTCAAATGTCATTTCATTATATCTCGAAACAACTGTAACGCAGAGATTACTACTTTGACTCATCTAGATTGTTTGTACTACTCATTGTCTAAATCTGTTTAATGTTACTGTATTTTATGTATATTTTCCTTTTCTGCAATGTAACTTTTGTGTCAACTACCCTGTGACGTGTGCTGCTGACCTCTTGACCAGGTCATCCTTGGAAAAGAGATCTTGATCTCAATGGGCTCTGTCTGGTTAAATAAAGGTGATTGATTGATTGATTGATTGACTGACTGACTGATTCAGGTGCCACAGCCTTCTTCATCCAGCCGAAGGGCCCACATGAGCAGCCTGGTGGTGGGTTTCTTCTGGACACACCTGTTGACTGTAGCTTCCTCTTCTTTGTGACAAAGGCTCTTGTTATTGGCAGGATAATTTTTAGTGGCCTGGATGTAGACCCCTAGGACATTGTTTTAATACTGTTGRGCTAAGACAATCAATAAGAACCCTTTTGATGTGGTTTTAGAACTCAAACTGTACACCTCTTTAACACTTGTGAGATGAGGGATTTAAAAGTGACTTCAAACATTCAATGTCCACAATTTGTTCTAGAATTTTCTTCTTGCTTGCATTTATTAGTTGTTGCAGTTGCGGGTTACAGCCAAGCATAAATTAGCAAATTAAAAAGGAAATAAAATAATCAGGAAGACATATTATTAGTTTCATCTTTCCCTAAATCTTTAAGCTGTGGTGAAAGTTCAGTCTTCAGGTCGGCTCATGGTGGATCTCCTTCAAAGTAACAACTTATTTCTGATTGATCTTTCTACATTTTATCTATCTGCCTAGATAACTGTCTTCTGGTCTTCAGCTCGGACCAACCAATCTTCATAAAACTTATGAACAGAATCTGTGACAAAGGGCAACCTTGGTGGAGTCCAACTCTCACCCGAAATGAGTCCGACTTACTACCGGCAATATGGACCAAGCTCTGGCACCGGTCCTACAGGGACCTAACAGCCCGTATCAAAGGGCTTTGTTCCCCATACTCCTGAAGTACCCCCCACAGAAGTCCCTGAGGGACACAGTCGAACGCCTTCTCCAAGTCCACAAAACACATGTAGACTGGTTGAACTCCCATGCACCCTCCAGGACCCTGCTGAGGGTATAGAGCTGGTCCAGTGTTCCACGACCAGGACCAGAACCACACTGCTCTTCCTGAATCTGAGATTCAACTATCTGACAGACCCTCCGCTACAGAACCCCCGAATAGACCTTATCAGGGATGCTTAGAAGTGTGATCTCCCTATAGATGGAACACACTCTGTGGTCCCCCTTTTTAAATAGGGGGACCACCACCTTGGTCTGCCAATCCAGAGGATCTGCTCCCGATGTCCACACAATATTGTAGAGTCGCATCAACCAACGCAACCCCACAACATCCAGAGCCTTAAGGAACTCCAGGTGAATCTCATCCACCCGCAAGTGCCCTGACACYGAGGAGCTTTTTAATCACCTCAGTGACCTCAGCACCAGAGATTGAAGAGTCCGACCCAGGGTCCTCAGGCTCTGCTTCCTCATGGGAAGATGTGCTGGTAGGATTGAGGAGGTATTCAAAATATTCTGCCCACCGACCCACAACTTCATGAATTGAGGTCAGCAGTGCACCATCTCCACCATGGGGAACTGCTTTCCCCCGCTGAGACGCCAGATGGTGGACCAGAATTGCCTCAAAGCCAAATGGAAGTCGTTTTCCATGGCCTCTTTGAACTCCTCCCATGCCTGAGTTTTTGCCTCAGCGACAGCTGAGCCGCAATCCACTTGGACTGCCTATACCTACCAGCTGCTTCCGGAGTCCCACAGGCCAAAAAGACCAGATAGGGCTCCTTCTTCAGCCTGATAGCTTCCCTCACCGCCAGTGTCCACCAGCGGGTTTGAGGGTTACTGCCACGACAGGCACTGACAACCTTACGGCCACAGCTCACGTAAGCTGCCTCGACAATGGAGGCACAGAACATGGCCCACTGAGACTCAATGTCCCCCACCTCCCCAGGAACGTGTTAGAAGTCCCCCCGGAGGTGTGAGTTGAAGTTGCGTCTGATGGGAGACTCTGACAGAYGTTCCCAACAGACCCTCACAATAGGTTTGGGTCTGCCAAGGTCTGACCGGCATCCTCCCCCACCAACGGAGCCAACTCACCACCAGGTAGTGGTCAGTTGACAGCTCCGCCCCTCTCTTCAAAACATGCAGCTGCAGATCAGATGAAACAACAACAAAGTCGATCATTGAGCTGCAGCCTAGGGTGTCCTGGGGCCAAGAGCACATCTGGACACCCTTATGTTTGAACATAGTCTTTGTTATGGACAATCCATGACGAGCACAGAAGTCCAATAACAAA